TGTAGGACCGGAGCAAGAGCTGTGTTTTTCCGCAATTGCCCCCCGGCAGTAAGGTTCAAAGACCTGGTTATTTCCCGGTGGGGCCAAAAAGGGTTTTGGCCCCTGCCCGGGCCAAGGCCCCCTTGCCTCTTGGTTCACCCGGTTTTTTCTGGTTTTCACTTTGTAACATATAATGAACCCCAAAGAAAAAATCCTCCCCTAGCGCAGCCAGGGGGGCCTTGGAGGGGGTTCCCCCGGTTCCGTAAACCACAAGGATTTTTCCCATCTCTACTATTTTTGGCGGATGAAAATTGTCTCCCTTCCCATTTGGCCGTCCCAACGAATACCCAGGAATCTTCCAACAAGCAAAACTTGGGAACGTTTTTTTTTTGGCAGCCGAGTGTATGCGGCTTGTGAATATATCAGCAACCTGCAAATCCGAGGCCCAGGGTGCTCGACCTGGAAAAAAAGGTGGCCCCTTGCCTCCCCCCTTCAGGTGGTGGAGAAGGTCCCCCCCCCCCCCTTTTCTCAAGTGGAAGGAGTTTTCCAAGTATCTTCCCGGGGTTCCTTTTGTTCACGAGTGGGAGGAAGGGAAGAGCGTGAAGATTGTGGACAGGCCGGATCGTGCAGCGTGCGCAAGTGGGGGATGCTCGGTTTCCCCTCCCCCTGTAATCGTACCGTTTTTGGGGATAAAGAGGGAGCCTGAGCCGAACAAAGGCAAAAAGCCGCTCAAATTTTATCCGTCAATCTTCCCCGGTTCCCCTCCCTCAACCTATGGTCCCCCAATGAGCTTGGGTATTGACCACCCGAAAGAAAAACGTATCGCGGAAAACAAGGCCGGTCGAAAAAGAGCTTCCTTCCGCAAGAGTGGGCTGGGCCGCCTCCCTTAGAGATAGGGGAGAGCTCGGTTTCCCCCCCCACCCCCAACACGGGAGGAGCTTTCCCGGAAGTAGACCCGAGCTTTCTCCCACTCCCCGAGAGGAAACCCAGTTTTAAGGTGGCTCCCCGGGGCATCTTTTTCCAGGATGCCCCCTCCTGGACCGCCTTCCTGGGGAGGTTGTTTTTTTTTTTTTTCCGGCACGTCCCCCCCCACCCCGGGGAGGAGGCCCCGGGGAAAGACCCAGGAACAACGCTGGAGAGACTAAAGTCCCTCTCAGCCTGGCCCCTGGGGAACCGCCTTGGGGGTTTCCCCCCGACGAGCTGGAAGGAGGTGGTGGGTGTGGAAAAGGGAAGTCCCTGGGCCCCCGTCCTTCCTGCCTTAGACTGCTTTGCCCCCTCGACCCGGCCAACGGATAAAAAGCCGAAAAGAAAATGAAAATGGAATGGATGGAATGAATTTTTTTTTCAAGGTGATAAATTTCAAAATGCCAACATTCAACCTTAAAAAATATTCCAATTAAACATTTTTTTTTTTAATTTTGGAAAAAAAAAAAAAAATAAAACTGATTTATTTTGTTTTCCATCGAAAAGCGTTTTTAAATGGACCTGAAATACACCCTTATTTGAATGTTTTTTTTAACATTTTTTGAAAAATAGATATTTTTCTGTGAATTCAGTCAACTGATTGTCCCCCCAATTTTCCCATAAGTTTTAAAATTCAACAGTCCCAAAAATTCCGACGAGAAATAAAATACAACGGTTGAAAAAAAAAAAGGCCAATACATGACAAACAACCGTGGTTTCCTAACCCCGAGTTTTGGGGATGTGCCCTCCCCGACCCAGTTTGTCCTTTTGCCGCAATAATGAAAAACTCTTGTTTATTCCTCTTCCACTGAACGTTGGAATCTCTCGTTATCTACATTAGACCTTTTTTTAGAAACCTAAATGGAGATTTTTTTGTTAACTTTAGAAAAATATTTACGTTTTTTAACCGTCCCACATTTAAGAAAGAGAGAGGTTTGTATTATCCCTTTGTTTTTTACGGAAGCGAGTGGAGCAAACGTAAACTTTTCACAGCTTGAAAGAAAACCATAAGGCAGCCCTACCCGGTGTTTTTTTTCCTTTACCTTTGGGTTTTTACTTTTAATTTTTTCCAGGACAACCCCCCCTTCCCAGCAAAAAATAATCCATTTTAAGTTGTACAAAATTTTTTTTTTTTCCGAGCCTGTGGGAAAAATATCAATTGATTTTTTTTTTTTTATGTTTTATAAATTCCTTTTTATTATGGGTAGCTCCTTTTTCAGTAACAACGAGTGGAGCCCCTGGTGGGAAACCTGCCTACCACGGGAAACCCTAGACCCAAAATACGGTGGTTATCGTTTTACTCACAACAAACACACTGTCCCCCCCCCCCCCTTATGGTTTTGCTATACAGTGCCCTTTGCGAAATTTTAATTCGGCCCCCCTTGAACATTTACCAACATGTTTCGCCCACATTTTTCAGTCCCCCCCCCCCTTCAAACAAATTAAAAGGAGTAGAAAAAAAAATTGTCAATGTTTTTTTGTACATGAATCCAACAAGAAGTTGTGGAACACAATTGTGAAAGTGGTAACACAAAAAATTTTTATGGAAAAGAAATTAAACTTTTTTTTTAACAAAATAAAAAACTGAAAAGTGGGGAACGGCAAATAATATTCCGGCCCCCCTTTTACATTCCAGGTGCCAAGCAAAACTCCAGTCCCCAAAAGGTTTTTTTTCAGTGAGGAAAAGCTGTTTTGAATGAACCAAGTGTTTTTTTTTATAGAGAGAGAGAGGACAGAGACCAGAGAGAGAGAGCGACCAGACAGACACCATAGAGAGAGACCAGAGAGAGAGAAAAGGGAGAGAGACCAGACAGAGATCAGAGAGAGCGAGATAGAGAGAGAGAAGAGACAGAAAAAGAGAACAGAGAGAGAACAGAGAGAGAGAACAGACAGAGACCAAAAAGAGAGAGGGATCAGGCAGCAACCAGAGAGTGAGAGAGACCAGAGAGAGAGAGATAGAGAGAGAGAGAACCGACAGAGACCAGAGTGGGACCTCTCTGGTCTCTTTCTGGTCTCTCTGGTCTTTCTCTGGTAACTATCATATGATACAGGCTGTTATATGATGTTGTAAATCATGTTGTGGGAGTATGAGAAGCAAAAGCTGAACCGTGTTATGGCGAGGGACCGCTTTAATAGAAAATAACTGACAAAAGGAAACAGTTATTGGGACTAAAGCTTTTAAATAATGTAGAGGAGTTTGTTAGAGTGTGTGAAGTGGAGGTGAGGCGTGGGACTGGGATTAGTTGGTTTTGCTCGGTTTCATTGTAATCAAGCTCAAAGTGCAGACGGAGCGAGGAGGCGATTCATCACGCTAACGAGACACATTCTCCACAAGCATTAGTCTGAATTAAAACACCAGGACTGTCAGGAGTGTCAGGGGCCGAGACGGTGTCAGGGGCCGGTGTGTGTGTGTGTGTGTGTGTGTCAGGGGCATAGACTGTATACAAATACAAATGGACAAAGCTAAAATAGACTGTACACGGCTGGACGATGCTAACACAGACTGTACCCGGCTGGACAATGCTAACACATTTGTTGGAATAACTAGCATCAACCATAATGGGGTTTGCCGACATCGGTTGGATTAACAAATATCAGAACCAGTCTGCATCAGTAGTGGCTATAACCAAAACAGATGTGTTTGAATAAGGTAAAAAACTATTCACCTCAACAATACACATGTCTGCTTATTGTGGCGCCACCTGCTGGTCACATCATTTTCTGCGTGACTGATAATTTGTCAGATTTGTAGAAAATACAACCATTTATAGATAGATTGTTTTACCCGAAAGATCAGACGGCCACAGAACACACCAACTAGAAACTAGAGAAATGTACCCAATCTACTTTTAGAGAGTAGTTTCAAGCTCTAAAACAGTTATATCTGGATTTTTAGATATGTTTTTTAACAAGAAAAGTAAAAAGTGTCAAATAGTGACTCACAGGGATCTTTTTTATAAGAACATTAAAGATGGAGACAGCATGTTGTGGTATGATTTTGTTACTTTTACAACACTTTTTGCTGCTTTAAGTGTGTGTGGGTGCTTCTGTCTCCTGATTGGCTGCTTGGTGATGGATGGCGGTGGACAGCAGACATAATGGAGCTTTAACTCGAACATATAATGGAGCTCTAACTTGTGTCGTTGGGCTGAAGCAGCGCGCGCAGAGGTCAGTGCGTCGGACAGAATGAGCGGGGAGTAAATCACGACAGAAACAGCTTCGTCTGCAGAAAACGGGAGGATTATGTCCCATTATGTGTTTCTGACCCGACAGAGCAGTTCTACTGACGCACAAAAAATTCAATGTTTAAAGATAAGTTACTCATTATTATTCAAATGCTTTGTCGCCCACAAGAGAGACACACACAAAACACACACACACAACCACATACCGGAGTGACGCCACGGTTCTTGATATTGTATTTAATGAACACGCTCCATCAGATACTGGCGGATCATGGGAGTCTGTCTGAGTCCACATGTGCTTTGTGGATCTGGTCCAGGCATCCAGCCGTGTTCCCAGGGGTGTCCTTTGGGGGGTTCTCAGGGAGTACGGGGTCCGGGGTTCTCTGCTGAGGGCCGTCCGGTCCCTGAATAACCGGAGTTAGAGTTGTGTTTGCATTAGGGCAGTTAAGTGTTGGCTTCCGTCAGGGCTGCCCTTTGTCACCGCTTCTGTTCACTGTCTTTATGTACAGAATTTCTATGCACAACCAGAGGTCAGAGGGAGTCCTGTTTTGGGACCACAGCGGCCAGAGGGAGTCCAGTTTGGGGATTACAGGGGCCAGAGGGAGTCCAGTTTGGGGACCACAGGCCTCAAACAAACCAGGACCCACAGCACTCGGACGGTTTGCAGCCGAGTGTTGATCAGCTCTAAATCCAAGCAGACCCAGGACACGTTGTAAGGAGAATGTCTCTGTCTGGGCTGGGAACGCCTCAGGATTCCCCAGATGAGCTGGAGGAAGTGTGTGTGGAGAGGGAAGTGTCTGCCTCGTCTGCTGCCCCTGCGAACCCGGCAACGGATGAAGAATATGGATGAATAGACGGACGGAAGATATTAATTCAGTAGTGGATCTCCCGGATCTTGGCCCTGGCTCTGCGGACTGCGTTTCCAGGCAACAGAAGTGTTTACATTTGGAATGGGCTTGAGGGTTTTGCGCGACATTACGTGAAATAATTATGGATAAACATTAGGACGGTCTGTCTCTGAAGCGTGGTCACCTCTAAACGAGTTTGAGGCGGCGGAAAATCCCATTAACGAGGGACATAAATGTGTGGATCAGCCGGGCGCGCTGACAGACACGGCTAATTAAGCAACCAATCAAAGACCAGCGAGGTCACACAACCACTCGCAACCATCGACAAATACCAAAGATTGTGTGTGTCAATATGATCACAGCACCACACAAGCAGAGAGAGACCAGAGAGAGGCCAGAGAGAGAGCAGAGAGAGACCAGAGAGAGACCAGAGAGAGGCCAGAGAGAGAGCAGAGAGAGGCCAGAGAGAGAGCAGAGAGAGACCAGAGAGAGACCAGGGAGAGACCAGAGAGGGAGCAGAGAGAGACCAAAGAGAGACCAGAGAGAGACCAGTAAGAGATTAGGCTAGAGAGAAGCCAAAGAGAGACCAGCCAAAGAGAGACCAGAGAGAGACCAAAGAGAGACTAGAGAGAGACCAGGGAGAGAGCAGAGAGAGAGACCAAAGAGAGACCAGAGAAACACCAGGGAGAGACCAGAGAGACTAGAGAGAAAGACCAGAGAGAGACCAGAGAGAGACCAAAGAGAGACTAGAGAGAGACCAGGGAGAGAGCAGAGAGAGAGACCAAAGAGAGACCAGAAACACCAGGGAGAGACCAGAGAGACTACAGAGAGAGAGACCAGAGAGAGACAGCAGAGAGAGACCAAAGAGAGACCAGAGAGAGACCAGAGAGAGACCAGAGAGAGACCAGAGAGAGACCAGAGAGAGACTAGAGAGAGACGAGAGAGAGACCAGAGAAAGACCAGGGAGAGACCAGAGAGGGAGCAGAGAGAGACCTGAGAGAGACCAGAGAGACTAGGCCAGAGAGAGACCAGAGAGAGAGTAGAGAGAGATTAGAGAAAGACCAGAGAGAGACTAGAGAGAGACCAGGGAGAGTGCAGAGAGAGACCAGAGAGAGAGACCAGAGATAGATACCAGAGAGAGAGACCAGAGAGAGACCAGAGAGAGACCAGAGAGAGAGACCAGAGATAGACCAGAGATAGACCAGAGAGAGACCAGAGATAGACCAGAGAGAGACCAGAGATAGACCAGAGAAAGACCAGAGAGAGACCAGAGGGAGAGACCAGAGATAGATACCAGAGAGAGAGACCAGAGAGAGACCAGAGAGAGAGACCAGAGATAGACCAGAGAGAGAGACCAGAGAGAGACCAGAGAGAGACCAGAGAGAGATACCAGAGAGAGACCAGAGAGAGATACCAGAGAGAGATACCAGAGAGAGACCAGAGAGAGATACCAGAGAGAGACCAGAGAGAGACCAGAGAGAGATACCAGAGAGAGATACCAGAGAGAGACCAGAGAGAGACCAGAGAGAGACCAGAGAGAGACCAGAAATAGACCAGAGAGAGACCAGAGCGAGACCAGAGAGAGATACCAGAGAGAGATACCAGAGAGAGACCAGAGATTGTCCAGAGAGAGTGGATAAGAGAACGTGTGTGTGCATGTTTGGTGTGTGTGTGTGTGTGTGTGTGTGTGTGTGTGTGTGTGTGTGTGTGTGTGTGTGTGTGTGTGTGTGTGTGTGTGTGTGTGTGTGTGTACCTTTGTCGCTGAAGTCGTCCACCAGGATGACCTCGTGGATTAGCTGCGGTGGCGAGCGGTTCAGGACGCTGTGGACGGTCCGCAGCAGAGACGACCAGCCTTCATTATGGAACGGGATGATCACACTGGAGTTGGGCAGCTTCTCCCAGTACAACTTCTGACCACAGCTGGACACACAACGGCAACACAACAACACGTGAGACCAGGACTACAGCTTCTCCCAGTACAACTTCTGAGAGACCAGAGAGAGACCAGCAAGAGACCAGCGAGAGACCAGAGAGAGACCAGCGAGAGACCAGAGACAGACCAGAGAGAGACCAGAGATAGACCAGAGAGAGACCAGAGAGAGACCAGAGAGAGACCAGAGAGAGACCAGAGAGAGACCAGAGATAGACCAGAGAGAGACCAGAGAGAGAGACCAGAAATAGACCAGAGATAGACCAGAGTGAGACCAGAGAGAGACCAGAGAGAGAGACCAGAGAGAGACCAGAGAGAGACCAGATATAGACCAGAGAGAGACCAGAGAGATCGCCACGAATCTATTAAGTAATTTGTGTTCCAACGTATTATTAACTTAAAAAAAAGTAAAACACAGTAGATTTGCTTTACTTAAAGTAGTACTAGAATTTAATATGCTGCTATCCAGAATATATAACTACAATATGTGTTTATAATATTTCGGGTGTTCATTTTGATATATTCAGATGAATTATGTTAAAAAAACAGCTTTGAAGTCGGATCTTTTCACAAACGCTAGGGGGCGCCAAAATGGCGGCGATGACGTAGGAGAAGGACCTCTCACAGCAGCAGCAGCAGTCTGGGCTGAATCTGTAGGAGGTTTCACTGTCATCTGAACAAGGTATAAACATATTTTCATATTTTTGTACATAATAGTGGGCAACTCTGTTAACCTTTTAGCCTTATTTGTGAGATTCAAGCTAATTAGTGTCGGGCAAGTTAGCTAACTCTACTCGATATCATAAAACATGCTAACAAGGCTAATATTCGTTTTTACATTATGCCAGTCTCACTTTGGTTGCCTTAGCATTTTTGAATATTACAATGTACATTGTGGTAAATAAATCTAACACCTATGAACATTTTAATTAGCATTTGTATCAATGATTGCATCACATGTAGTCTATGTTTTCAACTTCTGCAGCTTTTTGTTCATAAAAGTAAAATATTTATTTAATTCAAGTTATTTTGATTAGCATTTTTGAATATTACAATGTACATTGTGGTAAATAAATCTAAGGCAAAGTGAGACTGGCATAATGTAAAAACGAATATTAGCCTTGTTAGCATGTTTTATGATATCAAGTAGAGTTAGCTAACTTGCCCGACACTAATTAGCTTGAATCTCACAAATAAGGCTAAAAGGTTAAAAGAGTTGCACACTATTATGTACAAAACTGATGAAAATATGTTTATACCTTGTTCAGATGACAGTGAAACCTCCTACAGTTTCAGCCCAGACTGCTGCTGCTGCTGTGAGAGGTCATTCTCCTACGTCATCGCCGCCATTTTGGCGCCCCCTAGCGTTTGTGAAAAGATCCGACTTCAAAGCTGTTTTTTTAACATAATTCATCTGAACATATCAAAATGAACACCCGAAATATTATAAACACATATTGTAGTTATATATTCTGGATAGCAGCATATAAAATTCTAGTACTACTTTAAGAACAGGACTGCTCCACATCACACAGCGGCACGGTGGAGTGAGAGACAAGTGCCCAAAATTAACAATTGTAAACCGCTTTGAGACTCAGATCTGCAGTGAAAAGGCGGTATATAAATAAAGATTACTACTACTACACATACAGACACACACATACGTACGCACACACACACACACACACGTACGCACACACACACACACGTACGCACACAGAGACAGACGGGTACAGCCGCATATCACAAAACAACCTTGTCGAAGCGATGCTCTCTCCAAACTACATGAAGCACCTCAGTGAACCGTCACGTGCTGCGGCCGCTACGCCAGGTTTCGAGCGTCACCACATACTGCACGTCACCAACACACGCCTCGACCCACGCTTAAAAAAAACTCCCCTTGATTACTTGTTCACGCTTTGAAGACTCGGCACATCACTACTTCTTACTAGTTTTACCATTTACTTACTACTAAAGATATTTTGTTCACATTGTAACCCATGACATGACAGTCCATAGTCTGATTATCCCGGCCTCCTCCATCGGTACCTGTGGACTGGCTCTTCCTGACCCGGACTCCAGCCTCAGTCCTGCACCATGTGTGGCCTCGGTCCTCGGTCTACAGCCTGAGTCCTGGATCTAAAGCTTGTCCGTCCCTTTCTCATGTGGGCTTCCCCAGGTTTCTAATTTTTCTCCCACTGGTTTTCTAGAGTTCTCCTTACCCATGCAGGAGGGTCTAAACCGGTCCAGAAAGGGCTGCTGTGACTGCAGGTTTTCTGTTATACCCAACAGGAGCAGAGCAGACTCCACTCATTTCCTCAAATCTTCAGGTTTAGACCAGTGAGGGCGGGTCCCGGCTCAAAAGTGGCCAAAATGACGTGCCCTGACATGCTGCAATACCAGCCCGGGCCGATGGGGGTGGACCCGGAATAAGAATTAGCCAATGCTAACATATAGCATTGGCAGACCACTCGAGAACACCTTTACTCGGCTCGGTGGCTGAGTGGATAGCACTCTCGCCTCTCAGCAAGAAGGTCCTGGGTTCGAATCCCGGTTGGACTAGGGCCTTTCTGAGTGGAGTTTGCATGTTCTCCCCGTGTCTGCGTAGGTTTCCTCCGGGTACTCCGTTTTCCCCTACCACTAAAAATATGTACAATAGTTCTGGCATGTGCCTCCTGTACTGGTGACCCCGCTCCCATCTCTGTGTGGAGAGAGACAAATACCCAAAAATAACAATTGTAAACCGCTTTGAGACTCAGATCTGCAGTGAAAAGGCGGTATATAAATAAAGATTACTCACTTACTACTACAGGATGGGCCAAAAGTTGGCTCTTGGCCCAAAGCTCCGTTCCACATGTGTGTCAATGCTGAGGAGAGTGAATTTTTTTGGTCCACTCTAGTTTACTCGCTGTGAATTTTTGAAGTCTCTCGTTCAAATGAATGGAGCTTCACCGGCTGACGCATGCGCAGATGTGTTTTTCCACAATTTTCTTGTGGGCGGGACCACTCGCAGCCATTCTGGATAGCTCCAGTAGAGCACATTTTTTGGCACATTTGTTTGAACGGCGGAGATAGGCGTGACTCTGTCCGTTAATATCTACAGTCTATGGTTAAGACTGAACTCTCTTGAGGAAATGGGTGGAGTCTGCTCTGCTCCTGTTGGGTATGATAGAAAACCTGCAGTCACAGTGGCCCTTTCTGGACCGCTTTGGACTCCCCTGTCTAAGGACAGTGGTGATGATCCAGGACACTCCACATTCAATAACATTTATGAACAGTGGTCTCTGCTCCATATGGACCAATGGCTCTATGTGTTATTAATCCTTGCATTTCCTGTGTTTGTGTTGGTGCATCAATAGCTTTGTACAGTCCTAAGACATAACCACAGTTGTGGTTTAGGGCTATACACAAATACATGGAATTGAATTGAACTATCATTAGTAAAAGCCCAAGAAAAATGCCTCATATGTCTTCTTTATAACATATTATTTTGCCTTGTTTACTCCGGCTCTCAGAAGCTCGAAAACTCATCCTTCCCACATCTAACGGTATTTTTCAGGTCTAAAGAATCTCCCGACGGATCCACACTCCCACCTGTGATTACAGACACACAGCGGCCGTGTTTTCTGAGGTCAAACCATGAGACGATTCTTTCTGAAATCACACCGCAATCTTCTGCCTCCCCCTGCCTCCCCTGCCTCCCACACCTCCCACTGCGCGGCCACGAAGCACAATTCAATCTGCTCGCTGGAGAAATTGTCCCGTTTGTGATGAAAGGCACGCTCGTCTCCTAAGTATACGTGTCGGTGACGGCTTCGGGAAAGACCTGGTTGTGTGTTTATGGTTTGATCGCACACAAAATGGGGCCGATACGATTGTGTGTGCAGCCGCATTGACGAGCGTTGGGAACCTCTTCTACAGTCTGACACAAGGCAAATGTCAGCAGCCCGTCTCTGCGTCTGATTCAAAAGTCTCTTCTTAGCCTTTGCGTTGACCTTTGTGGCGTAGACTTGACCTTTGTGGCCGTGAACGCCTCTTTAAACCCGGTTGAATGTCACTCGCTCAAAGCTGGTCAGAGGTCACTCACTTTGGAAACACAAAGAAAGACGAGGACGTGTCGTGGCTCACAGTAAGTCATCCATTCTTGGAAAAATACAAATGTCCGTCAGTCGCAGCGGACGCCGTTCAAACGCTTTCACGGGATCTATGCATCATCTGCGGTAAATGTCCTTTTCAGAGATTTTTTATTGCCATCGTAAGTAACAGGAAGTCACAAACTAAGAAGAGAGAGAAAAGAGAGAAGAGGAGAAGAATGAAAAGAGAAAAGAGAGTGGAGAAAGAGGACATTATTCCATTATTCCAGCCGTGTCCATGTATAGAAATAGGTTGAAAACACTGCAGGTCTGTGTCTGTCTTTAGAACATGTCTCTGAGCGGAAAGAGAGAGTCTGGGTTAGAATGAGGGATCATGAATGAGCTCAGTGAAAACACTAAATAAAGACAAGGACCTTCACACAAAGCAGACGTTCTTTTGAGACGAAAACACATCAACACGTCTCCTCTCCATAAACTCCTGCAGAAAATACAGGACCAATACAATCCCATCTTTTCAATACAACTCTTTTCATTGTTCTGCTTTTGTTCAGTATGAATGTGTGTTACAGAGGTCCCTCACTTGTGGGGAGGGAGGAGAGAGGAGAAGGGAGAGAGAGGAGAAGGGAGAGAGAGGAGAGAGGGGAGGGAGAGAGAGAAGGGAGAAAGAAGAAAAGGGAGAGGGAAGAGAAGGGAGAGAGAGGGGAACGAAGAGAGAAGAGAAGGGAGAGAGAGAGGAGGGAGAGGAGAGAGGGGGGAGAGAGGAGAGAGGGAGGGAGAGGGAGAAGGGAGAGGAGAAGGGAAAGGGAGAGAGAGGGGAAGGGAGAGAGGAGAACGAAGAGAGAAGAGAAGGGAGAGAGAGAGGAGAAGGGAGAGAGAGAGGAGGGAGAGGAGAGAGGGGGGAGAGAGGGAGAAGGGGAAGGGAGAGAGAGGAGAGAAAAGAGGGGAGAGAGAGAAGAGAGAGGGGAGGGAGAGGAGAAGGCAGAGAGAGGAGAGAGAGCAGAGAGTGGAGAAGGGAGAGAGAGGAGAAGGGAGAGGGAGGAGAGAGGAGAAGGGAGAGGGAGGAGAGAGGCGAGGAGACAATGGAAGGATAGAGAAGAGAGGAGAGATAACGTGGGGAAGAAGAGAGAGGGGATAGGAGAGAAAAGTGGAGAGTGGACAGAGGAGAGAGCAAAGAGAGGGGAGAAAGGAGAGAAGTGAGAGAGCAGAAAGAGTTTAGAGGAGAGAGGAGGAGAGGAAGACACTGTGTTCACTGGTGGTGTATAAAACCGATGCAGCTTAAGAGGAAGTTCAGTCTGGTAGATTACTGCGGCAGTCCCACCTCAGCCAGGGCCCGCCTCCTTCACTCTCAGCCTATCACACGGCAAGGCCAACTTCCCTCCGAACCCATGCCATACCCTGCCAACCCACGGCAATCAAGCCAGCAGTTTAGAAGCGGGTAGTTCTCAAGCTCTCGCAACTACCACCTCCCCGTCTCCTCCTCCGGCCCCCGGGAACAGGCCTGACACCGGCGCCTCGGTGTCAGGTAGTGTACACACAACAGTAGTGATGTGTGTACATGTGTATAGCAATATTGTGTGTACATGTGTATAGCAGTGTTGTGTATCTACAGAACACTCACTTGTGGTGGCGGATGTCCGGCAGAGACCTGTTCAGTGAGATGCGGTCGCTGACGTAGATGTTGAATCCGTTTTCTCTGTAGGCCTGGTCCACTCGGTCTGCGTCGCTCAGAGGCGTGGCCTGGCCCTGCTCGCCGTTACCTTGACAACACACACAGGAAAAATATAAATACAGACTTAAAACAGCTATATTTCCTTCAGCTTTGGCTTCTTCACCGGCTCCTGTCAAATTCAAAGGTTGGTTTTAAGATTTGTTTTTGAAGTGCGGTTTTGTCCCCTGTCTTTTGTTGAATGTGCCCAGGTCCCCTCTCAAAACTCCAGGAGACCAGACCAGACCAGACCAGACCAGACCAGACTAGACAAGACCAGACAAGACCAGACGGGACAAATCGAGACTAGACAAGACCAGAAAAGAACAGACCAGACAAGACCAGACCAAACAAGACCAGACCAGACCAGACCTGACAGGAACACTTTGCCCAGCTGGTGTTTTTGTAAATGTGCTATACATTTAAAGCTGACATTAACATTGACATTGGCTCTGGAGGTAAGACTTAACCGTGAGTCTAAAAACACAGATTGTCGGTGAGGCTGCATACAGAGCCCCTTGCTGGAGAGGTTTGGTAACAGCACTCTCCTCTCCTTTATCTGTCATCATCACTTCAGCTGTAGTCTGTTCATTGCTATCCACCCACTGTCTCATGTCTGTTTCGTGGCGTGTGGACTGCACCTGTGGACTGTCTAATCCCTCCCTCAATATGGATCTCCCTGAGATTTCACCCTTTTTTTTTTCTCTTCTTTTTTGAGTAGTTCCTTTTCGATGGACAAGGGTTTAAGGACAGTGACAATCTTAAGCATTTAAGGACATTTATTAACATTTCTGGGCAGTGGTCGTATAGAATTTTCTGTTTCTGAACGGTTTGATTCTCTGATCTGTCGTAGATCAGGGACGTAAATAAATTAGCACTGCTGCTACAACTTGGTACGATGCATCTCTCCCATTGGCTAATGTTTATTTTACACTGTCCCTGTAAAATTTAAAATAAAAACATCGTATCACAGAGAATGCTACCACACATTATTTAAATCCAAAAAAGTGAATGTGACATAAAAAATTTATGAGCTTGAGGAGTTGGAAACTAAAGCAGCAGAGCACTTCCCAATTGGGCTTCATTAAGATAGAGGTTAGCATTAAGCTGGAGGGTTAGCATTAATTAAGCTGGAGGGTTAGCATTCAGCTAGCGGGTTAGCATACTTCGTCTGTATACTGGCCACAGTTGTAATTGTTTGATTAAATTACCGGATCTGACGGCGTCTCTCTTCATGGCGTCGTAGTCGTGCCAATCGATACGACGAACTCCATCTGCCCCGACCTCCACCGATCTCAGCTGCAACACACACACAAAGAACACATCAGAGAGCCGCAAAGTGGTCTCGGGGTCACGAGCGGTCTAGCGAGCAGACTGAAGATACTCGTGAACAGCCAAAACAGGACTAAACCAGGACTAAACCAGGACTAAACCAGGACTAAAACAGGAGTAAAGCAGGACTAAAAAGCTTCCAGCCTGAGTTCTAATTCTCCAGTGACAAACAAGGGCTGCAAACGTGTTCTGTACTAAATACTGTTTAATGATAAAAAATTAACTCATGGCGCAGCTCCATGATACTGCGGTTATATAAAGTCTCTGAAGGTCTCAAACAGAGAATCTAGATTCTTGGAGAAGAACTTTACACAAAAGGCCGTTTTTTCCCACCACAGGAAAGCGTCTGATATGTAGAGAATGTGCGTCCAGTGCGTGTCGAGACTGCATTCTCCGTCAGCGGTCTGAACACCCCATAAGAGCTTTACTCTACTCTACTCTACTCTACTCTACTCTACTCTACTCTACTCTACTCTACTCTACTCTACTCTACTCTACTCGGTTTTGTTTCCATTACACATTGTATCTGTTGTATCTGGCACCGTATCCAAGCACCACAACAAACCAGTATTTGTGGACATTCCTTGGTAACCATGGCTTCCAGCAGCTCTCTACAGTAGAGTAGAGTAGAGTAGGGCTGGTGGAAACAGGGCTTATATCCCTTATGCCAAAGTTATGTAGAACAGTCTTTCAGTATTTCAGAACGACACAACTGTGGGAAAGAAACTACTTCCTTGAGAGCAGCTTGTAACTATCTGTCATTTGTTAAAGTTGTTCTCTTTAAAATATAATGAAGAATGATACAAATGTATAAAGACAGTTCCTTCAAAGACGTTCGTTGTAACATTTGGCTGTTTGATGTTTCTACTTAAAACTTGTTACCTCTTTGCATAAAATACCTTATCTTTACTTTTTAATCATTTGCACATTTCCTGCCATTTCTCCATTGTGAGATCCAAAAAGTTTGATCTTATCTTATGACCCCACAACGCCCTCTGGTGGTTGGAGGGGGTATTACATGCAGAGATCAGTGTTAATATTTTCTTAATCTGTCTCCGTATAATTTGTACTTAAAATTGGGGAACCTAACTGTGAAACCAAAACAAACAGACTCAACTCAACTCGACTCTCTTGTTCCTGGTTCTATCCAGGTCGAGCTGGTACTAAAGTGTTCTAACTCACATTAATTGGCCAGAGTTCCTGCTGGAAGCCATGGTTACCAAGGAATGCCACCCGGATACTTGATTGTACTTGATTGTTGTGGGCAGGTTGCTAGGATACAGTACCAGATTCTAAAGTGCAATGGAAACACAACCAGGTAGAGTTGAGAAGATCTGAGTAGAGTAGAGTTCCATTTGAAGTATTTGTGTACAGCCCTAAATCACAACAGCAGTCGTCTCAGAGGACCTTATAAAGTGGTCAATTCCTCATCAACAGATCAGAAAATTGGTAAGTTTGAACACAGGAAATGCAATAATAACAAACACATAGGAGCAATGCGGTCCAAAGGGAGCGGGACGACCAATCAACAGGGCCGAGTATAAAAGAGTAGAGTAGAATAGAGCAGAGGGAAGTAGAGGGTGATATAGTGGAGTAGAGTAGAGTTGGGAAGAGTTGAGTAGAGTAGAGTAGAGTAGGGCAGAGTAGAGTAGAGTAGAGTAGAGGAGGGCAAAGTAGAGTAGAGTAGGGTAGGGTAGGGTAGGGTAGGGTAGGGTAGAGTAGAGTAGAGTAGAGTAGAGTAGAGTAGGGTAGAGTAGCACATAGCGCTTGTGGAAATAATGCTTTTGTCATATTAACTTAACAAACACATCTGTCGTTGCCGTCGGTGACCTTCCCAGCGCGCCCCACCTCCACATCAAAGCGGACGCACAAACACAGCCATCATCCTGCTGCTGCTGCTGCTGCTGCACAACGCACCGATAAAGTAGGCGAGTGTGCGGCGCGTGTGCTGCTGCGGCTAATGGAGCATTTATCTCAAAAGGAACAACGCTCTCTGTTTAATTACGACCCGCTGCGGCTGTGACTGATGGCTGTAATGGAACTGTGCGGCCAGAAACAACACACAGGAATGAAAGTGTGTGTGTGTGCGTGTGTGTGTGACTGTGTGTGTGTGTGTGTGTCTGTGTGTGCGTGCGTGTGTGTCCGTGTGTGTGTGTGGCATGTGTACGTGTGCATGTCTGTGTGCATGTGTGTGTGTCTGTGTGTGTGTGTGTGTGTGTGTGTGGCATGTGTACGTGTGCCTGTGTGTGTGTGTGTGGCATGTGTGCGTGTGTGTGTGTTTGACTGTGCATGTGTACGTGTGCCTGTGTGTGTGTGGCATGTGTGTGTATAATAATGTGTTGTGTTGGGTTGAAATAATAATAATAATAATAATGCATCGGTTTTATATAGCGCTTTTTTGGACACTCAAAGACGCTTCACATGTGTCATTATTCATTCACTCCATACATGGTGGTGATAAACTACTACTGTAGCCACAGCTGCCCTGGGGCACACTGACAGAAGCGAGGCAACCAGTATGCGCCATCAGCCCCTCCGACCACCACCAACCATTCACACACACACCAAACTCAAAGGCCAATGCCCTACCAACTGAGCTACTGTCGCCCTCAAAGTAAATAATCAAAATTAATTCACAATATGAGTTGCCCCGGGAAACGGCACAAATCTAGACAAAGTATACAAAACTAACTGCAATAAAGCCGTCTTCTTGGTGGCTGCCCAGAGGTTAAACATGTTTGCTTCTATCACTACTTTTAACTTGGTATTTCACAGAAAAGTGAAACAGAGAGGACCCCCCTCACTCAGCCAATCAGCTCCCAGTTTGTTAAAGATCAAATTAATTGTAAAAGCGCTGTGCCAAGTCCCAGTCCTTCAGTCAGACCGTGCAGACAATAGAGCAGGACTTCAGCACCACGGACAGCGCCCC